AAAAAAAAAAAAAAAAAAAAAAAAAAAAAAAAAAAAGCAAAATGAAAAAAAAAAAAAGAATCGCCATCAAAACAGGAGTACAAGCTTCGCCATCAAAACAATAGTACAAGCGTTCCCGGTCTCAAATATAGTTCTATTACAGAAACAAGCGACGACGACAACAACACCAGTCCCCGGTCTCAAATATAGTTCTATAATAGAAACAAGCGACGACGACAACAACAGCAGTCCCCGATCTCAAATATAGTTCTATAACAAAAACAAGTTATAAAACTATATGCGCCCTTGCTTATTTCCGCACACGCGACCGAGCATCGCTGCGCAGACCCATCACAAGGAGGTGACCGCCTCCTATCCTCCGATCTTTCTCTTACGACCTCGTGTTTCTACCCCTGTGGCTTGACTTGAGTCCTGGCTTTGTGCCAGTTGCGCCTCTGGAGGTATTGCCATGGGCGGTTCCTCACGCTGGTCAGATCCTGCCGGCAGATTGGCTTCGGTTGCAATGAATCCCGGAATGGGCTCCCGTGTCTCCTGCGTTATGTCCTGGCCGAAAGCCACCCTCGCCGTGGCTTCCTCAACATGTCGCTCTTCCTCCTCGAGGCCGTGATCCCCAGACACCTCAACGTCTGCATCAGGGTGTTGTTCCTTCGACTTGCCCTTCCCCTCTTTCGGCTTTTCTCTCTGCAACGTCCCTTCGAGGTCAGTGAGCAGCCTCATGCGGATTCCCTTCGCACACCGTCTGTCCAGCTCCACGACAAGATAGTTCCTGTTCGCCATCACGCAAGCAATGACCCCCGTACCCGAGCCCGAAAAGCGGTTGAAAATGGTGGCGCCTAGTGGCGAGAACTTTGTGACCAACCAGGAATACGATTCATAAGGTCTTTGGTACGGACAAAGCACCCTGTCATCAGCCGGGTGCACAAACTTTCGCGTCACCGCATCAAAAAGTTGGAAGTTGTGGCGGGGATCGGTGAGAGCGAAGTTGTAATGCGTCATCTCAAGTTGGCCTGTCACATTGTAGTACCCCAGAACACAGAACTCCGTCGCGCTGACAAGTCTCGGACCACCGGGATTCGTCGTGTTCGGCTTGCACCACGTGACAAGCTCTTGACCAGCATTGCATATCTTCGCAAACGCGGACCTCACTGAGGATAGCATGTCCACAGAGCAGAAAGCAGCGACTGTCGAGAGCGATGCGCTCGAAACCTCCTTGACATTCTAGAGCACAGCGTCAATGTCACTCTCCGGGAATGGCTCCGTGTCACGCGCGTGTCCTTTGTGCGCAAAGCCGTAGGGCAAATTGAAGATGGAAAGGGAAATCGGCACCTTGTCCTTTTGCAGCTGTGCCAAATGCAACATATCGCCTTGAATGACCTTGACCTGCCCCGAGCACCCTTTGTACTTCACGTCAGTCCAGTCCGCGAAAAGGTCGTCCAGGGAATGCGCTCGGAAGAAATCGTGACTCGCTCTTTGTGCATCTTTAATCCTCTTGTCCTTCATCTTTCTCCACTCCTTCGCTCGTTCAATGTGATTTAGCAAAGCAGTGGGTTTAGCCCCTCGCCTCTCAAAACTCCCAATGAATGGCTCGAGAACCTCTTTCTTGGTGTGCAAAGGATACAACTCCTCTGCGGTTTTGAAGTCTTTGCATTTGACACCTTCGCAGAAGGCCTTTGCAACGTAGCCAAACTTCTTCACGACCTTGAACTTCCTCTCCATCTATTCCAGGGAGATCTGCTTGGACACAACTTCCGTCAAGATGGGGATGATAGCGTCGTGCGGGATATTGCCCATCGTAATCCACGGCTGCGCAGGCATGTCAGCCGGGGCCGAAGCAACTTTGTTGTCCTTCAATTTTAGGCGAGGATTGAAGAACGTCGTCTCTTGCTGCTTTGCGACAGCCCTGTCCAGCTTTCTCGCCCCGCATTGTTTCTTGCCACCCTCCGACTCGCTGGACTCTGGAGCGACATCTGTGCGGATCTGACTTTTCGCAAGAGGCTTGAGTTTCTGGTTCTTGACCTCCCCCTTCTGCCACATCTCAAAAACTCGCAGTTGCAAGTCCTAGATCTCTTTGGGACGCATCGCGATCTGCAACAAGGGGTCATTATTCTACACCTTCTTGGTAGAACACGGTATGCCGAACTCCCGCAGGCAGGCCAACTTCACCTCAGCGTTCTTCACAGACCCCATTCTCTCGAAGATGTTACACCAACATTTCATCTTCTCTATGAAGTTCAAATCTCTGTGGTAGCCAACTGCCAAATTGTGTTTGTGACCCACCTGCCTCGCTTCTTCTGTAGTCAGGCCCGCATAGACATAGCACACATTCCATTTGTAATCCTCCTTGTCAGGGTAGATCTTCTGCAGGCGCTCCATCGCCTCCCGGCAACGTCCACCTCCAAGAACATAGATGGTGTAGCCACCTTTGCGCAACCGGGCCAGATCCACGTCCTTCTTATCTTTCACCTTCGACGGATCCACGACACCAACGAAGGGAAGATGATCCCCAGTCGGGCAAGTAATCATCGAATCCATGATTGTGGAAACGTGGTCCTCTTTGGACTCCCGAATCTCGAGTGGCCTGTTTCCTGCTCCATCGTCCGGCGGTCGTCGCAGACACGACATGGGCAGGTAAAAAGGCTCTTGGGAAATTTTCTTCTCCTTTAAACTCTCTAGCTCGTTCCAGGCCCGTATCAGCTCGTAGTTGAGTTCACCGGGAACAAGACCTCGAGGAACTTGAAGCTCGTCTTGCGGAGTTTTGCCTTTCCCTTTCGAAGACGCTGCAACTTTCGGCGCACGTACTTTCTTTTTCAGAGCTTTCGGCTTCGTACCCAACTCGTCTTGCGGAGCTTTGCCTTTCCTTTTCGAAGACGCCGCAGCTTTCTCTGCAAGTACTTTCTTTTTCGGAGCTTTCGTCTTCGTACCCGAACCTTTCTCCAGAGCTGCCGAGGACTCGACACACGTCTGCGGGGAGACTACAACTGGAGGAGGCGTTCTCCGCTTGCCTGGCTTCGTTTTCGACGGGCCTGGGGTCGACGTCGGCTCAACGATCAGGTACCTGAATGGAAGAAGCCTGGTCTTAAGACGTGGATCCAAGTATTCACCGAGCTCTCCAATGAAAACCTGCACGAACAAAAAAACGGGCATTGTGGCATGTCAGAACTGCTCAGTGGTTATAGGACTATAACAGTTTAGGGCTGAAGCAAGAACACTCAGCACAAGCAACAGACCGGGACAGGATCTCAGAGATTACAGAACTACAATCACTTAGCAGAAACAGTACTGTTCGGTGGCGATGTCGATGGCGATGGCGGTGGCGGGCGGCGATGGCGATGGCGGAGGGCGACGGCGGAGGGCGGTGGCGGAGGGCGGTGGC